GTGTGTGTGTGTGTGTGTGTGTGTGTGTGTGCGCGTGCGTGCGTGTGTGCGTGCGTGCGTGCGTGTGTGTGTGTGCAGATGCTTGAGTGTGATTTAACCTAAGAATATTCCACTTTCATTCCTTTCCCCGGAGATCCCACGAAAACCAAATTCGACAGTTTGTTTCTTGCTGGACCATGTTGACTGTGCGAATGTCTGTCCTCAATTTCAGGCATAGATATGCAAATCACACAGGAGTTATTAATCAGAGAGTCACAGGGATTATGCAAATGATTAAGAAAGAGGGACGAGAGACAGACAGGAAAGAGAAGAGAGTCTGGACGTCAGCAAACTTGTGTTGGCATTCACCAGAGGCAGATAGTTTTGTTTGAGAGGGTCGGATCTCGGCTGTGATCGTCGTCCCCTCGCTCTCGCCCGACGCAGACAGTCCTGGTGAAAAGGTCGTCTTCACGTCGGGGCGGAGGGAGCGGAGGCCTGTCAGGGTAATGATGAGCCTGTTGTTTCACAGGGGGAGAGCCAGACGACACGTTAATGCTGATTTCCCCTTTGAATAACTCGTACGGCAGATGTTGGTGTGACAGCTTGCACCCACATTAGGAGCCTGTGTAAACATTAATTCACGATTACAAATACGAATGCATCTAGATCAGAGTGGTTTATTGTCATCAGAATACTTTCAGAGGAGTTCATCTTGATCACAGATTTCATAAAACGTCCTGGCATGCAGCAGGAAATCAGTTCAAACCCTGTATGACATGTATTATTAAACAGCTCTGGAAACGTGTCAGTTAATATCAGTAACATTGGTTCCTATGGCAATAAGCCATCACAGGTTTTCAATACAGGTGCACGCTGCCCTTTTCATATGCCCACATGTTTGCTGGGAGCATTCCATTAATGAACAGCATTCATGTTCCATTAAAGTGGCTGTAATCATGTTATCGTCTAACTCTGGAGTTCCCCGATAGATTCATGGACCATTTTATCATCTTTCAGCTCATTGTTTTGGTTTTCTAGCCACTTTTCTGTTTCAGTCCTGCTGCACTTACTGTGTTGTTTTCAACTGCAGATGTTTTCTGTGAAAAAGCTCCTATCAACCACTGTGCCTCACTTTTCCATTGGTCAAAAAACCCACTAACACCCATTAACAGCCAACTTCTGCCTGCAATGGGAATGGATACATTCATCATTCACTTCTAGGTCAAATGACTCTGGGAGTAGACAAGGTTTTTAATCTGCTCCGGCTCCGATCGGCAGTGATGGAAATCAGACACCGGGGTGAAAACACTAATTTGGCAAGACAGCGAGATGAGAGAGCTCCTCAGATTTTCGGTACATTTGTGACGAAGATCAGAGGAAAAACCGGAAACAAAAATGTTAACTCCTCCAGTCAATCACCATCTTAGCAGGTTTACCCATGTTTCAAAGTTTAAGAGACTAGCTGCTGAACATGTAGGTGGGGACCAAAATCAGAGCAAAATGGAGAGTATATATTTCACTGACAGCTTCACTTGAATGATGAGGTGTAAACTGCTAATGTTAAAAATAAAAATAATATTTTAAATGTGTGTACATTTCAGCCAATGGACAAGCCACTGAGAAACATGGACGATGAAAATATTAACAAGTAATGAATGTTAATGTTCTGTTTCTGCTGGAAGTGGACATAAACAGCTGTTTGCCAAAGCAGCTTAAAAGGTGCTAATAGGGTCAATGTGGTTTTAACAGCTAGTTTAAGTTAGAGGCCAAATAACTTTGTGCTATTTTCTTTAAGTCTGTACAACATATAAGACATAGGAATTTCACATTCTGTATATTTGTTAATATTTTCAATCAGTAACAGAATATGTGAAAAGGTGGTGCACCCAATGGCTCATCTGGCTGCAGGGGTCGCAGGTCACTGTCTTCCCAGCTCTCTATTCCCATCACTTAAAGAAAGGTATAATGTTTAAAAAATATCTTAGAGAATATGTGAAGAGGTGAAGGAAGAAATTATCGAAATTTTTTCCATAAAAAAAAAAAAAAGATTATTCCCTTGTGATGAACATGAGTTTTAGCTGCCAAGCATCGTTCTGTGTGTGTTTTACACAAGTGCCACAGGATCCCTGGTGTTGAAACCACCACTGCTGTTTAAAGCCCATTTCTACTTGTCCCTAATCTACCTGTGGGACTTTACAGATTGGAAATAGATCACACGAAGAAAGCTTGGTTACCTGCAGTGATTTCTTTTCCTCCCGCCCCAGTGGACGATTATTGGCAGGTTTTGGGGCCCTGCCGCGAAGGGTGAACGAATGCATTTCTGCAGATGACTGTGAGGCAGGGAAAGATTGAATTCTCACTCCCTTCTGTGTGTGTGTGTGTGTATGTGTGTGTGCGTGTGTGGGAAACGGGCGAGTCTCCTAGAAATAGGCAGTGATAGATGAGGTACATGGAAGAAGACAGCTACTCCTGCTCTGCAGCCTAGCTGAATCAGGAAACTGTCTGCCAACGAAATACCCCTCTCCTCCTCCTCCTCTTCTCACACTCTCATTATAATTTTCTCCCTTTCCTCTTGGCCTCCTCTCTTCCTTTGCTTACGAATCAATCGTTTTGTTAGTGCTTACTAGACAGCAGATCTTAAGTCATTATGAGATTGTGCTTTATATCACTGCTTAATGAGCACTATACACCCACTGCAAGGATTTCCAGGCAGCAGCTAATGGTCAAAAAAGCTCCACTTTCTCTTCCTTGCTTTTTCAAGTGTGTTTCTGGGTTCATTTCAAATGTTTACATGCCGAAGATGATGCAACTTCATGCAACTTCAGGAACTTCTGTCAAAATAACATGACCAGTTTCAAATGCTGATAAATACAACTACATGTGTTCTGTCTCTGCAGAGCTCTCCATTCGTCTGAGTGGCTGTGAAACTAACTTAAGGAACTGTCGACCCTTGGAGAATTTCACTAGTGTGAGTTTGGCGTTTGAGTTTTTCCTGCTCGCACACAAAGACAGGATATTGTGAAAGCACTCCAACAGATTTCCCCTACAAATGACCAGTTTCTTGGGTGAATGGCCGAGAGAGCAAGGTCCATTGCCAGGCCAAGTGCAGCTAATGATGGGTGACAGCCATCTTTGAACCCTGACCTTTACAAAGGGCTCCTTGTTGAAGGCCACTCCTCCAAAGTAAATGTTGTTGTTCCATCCTTTCAGCCTCGGCTCCGCTCAGGCCTCTCCACTCCAGCCTCTGGGTGCTTCTTTATTCATTGCTTGGATAAATGTACATGACCCCTTAAAATAACAGAAGCTGCCCCACAGGGCACACTTGAGCGATGTGACATTCCGACTAACCTGAGATGACTTTTAAAAAATACGTGGATACGTGGAGGACAGTAGTATGGTGGAGGGGGAAGATGGTGGATGTGCGGGGGGGAAGAAATGGACAAAATCAAATCAGTGTAAGCAGATAGGTTAAGCAGAAAGGTTAGAGATAAAATATGAGTCTGAAAACAAACATGACGTAAGTGCTTTTCCTTTTTGCTGCTGTTGGATGGAGGATTTTGACTTGACAGGCCTATTGCTCTGTCTGGAAGAAGCTCACACACACACACACACACACACACACACACACAGTATTTGAGACGTACACTCTTTTGCACACATACACTCATCGTTCCATAAAACACCTAAATGCAGCATTTTGAATTTGCAATGCAGCCGAGGCAGGTCCTCCATCAAACACACAGGCACAGAGCACTCATCCTGGATTCTGTATTTAATCAGGGGCTGTTAATACTCTACAAACAGTCTCTGTTAAATTCGAAGCAGAGCTCCTAATTAGCCTATCGTGCAGTCATAATCACTTCAGAAATAAATTAAGCCGAAGGTATTTCACTGAGCTAATGACCTGCATTGGTCCTCACAGCCGCCCTCTTCCGCTGAGCTGTCATGTTCAAAGAGGAGAAATAAATAGCTCTCACTTTGTTCCTCACTTCTTGATCTGTGGGTAAATATAAAATACTTCATCTGAGTGTGCAGCAGACAACTAACTCCAGCCAGCGTGTGTTCACGTGCTGTTTAGACTTTTAAACCTTTTTATTTTTAAGACCTGTCGATATCATGTGTAGTAGCTCTTTTGTGGAATACTTTCAAATTTATGTGATTGAGTTTAGATTAGTAAGACTTTCAATGTTTTCTTTAGCATTCACACTAAATGGTAATGTCTTGTTAATAAGCTGCTCAAGACAGTAGACAGTTGGGTTTTTATTTCTGTTTTCACATACCATGTGTTGTTTTTATGCATCAAATAGTTTTAACTTGTTATATTAACTACTGTTATTTGCTGCCATTGCAGAGCACTTTCTAATGTGGCTTTTGTAACATGCTCTATAAATAAAGATGACAATTATGATGATGATGATTTTCAAGTCATTTCTGATTATATTGTTTGTCTTTATTATTTTTGCCTCCCTGGACCAAATAAAGATACTATTATAATGCTTTAATTACTCTTATCATATTTTATGTTGATGAGTAAGATGTATTCAGATTGTCTACTTAAAATAAAAAATAATAATGCCACAGTGTAATAAGACTCTTTTTCAAAAAAGACCTCTATTAAATATCACCAGTGAAATTACCAGTGAAACATGTATTATTTTCAATATTATCATTTGATATGAACATTTTAATAGCATTATAATGCTGGTAACAAGTGGTAACCAGTACAGTCAGACAGTCAGATAAAGGTGAGAACAAATATATTCAAATATCTAGGTTAAGTAACACAACCCAGGTCCAGTACACAAGTAACCAGTCCTAGTTTTTAATGGAACAAAAATTTAATGTATGTCTTGTTTTTAAATTACTGATTGTTAGACTACAACAGTTTCTGGTAAGGTAAGTTTGGATTGCACAGCAGAGGTTTCACTGCACAGGTGAAACCCATGTCATCAATGATGGCTCCATTCCATTAAGTGTTCCAGTGAAGCCGGTGAGGGAGTGATCCCCCACAGCTGCAGCAGCCTGCACCTGCCTCAGCTGAATGGAACCGGCCCGTGGTGTCTGCTGGGCCGGAGAAAGGCGGAGACTTCCACGTGCTCTGGTGTCACGGAGGTCCACGCTGTCTTCTTGTCTGTGGACGCGGGTGCAGAGGACATGTTGTCCTCTGTCAACATGTGAGTCCCCAACCAGCTGTCTGCTGGGTTTGATCTCTCCTGAAACAACGTTGGGACTAGTTCCACCTTAACTGGTGCTAAATGAGCTTCGAGCTAGCGCAGGAAATATGGCGAGTGTGAAGTGTGTGGTGTTGTGTGTGTGTGTGTGTGTGGTGTTGTGTGTGTGTGTGTGTGTGTGTGGTGTTGTTGAGTCTGTGAGGTGTGTGTGTTTGTGGTGTTGTGTGTGTTTGTAGTGTTGTTGAGTCTGTGAGGTGTGTGTGTGTTTGTAGTGTTGTTGAGTCTGTGAGGTGTGTGTGTGTGGTGTTGTAAAGCACTTTGTTACTTGTATTGAAATACAAATAAAATGATTATTATTTGTATTGTTTGTGAGGTTTATATTGTTTATGGTAAATAAAAAAAACCTTGTTGCTTGTATTGAAGTGCTAAACAATTGTATTATTATTATATCACTGTGTTTTTGTACTGCATTTAATGCTTCATTCTAGGTATTTGTTGTACATTGTTTCCAAGCAGAAGTAGAGAAGGAAGCAGCTGAAGGACTTCCAGTGGTTTTATAACACCAGCCAGCTAACAGGTAATTATAGCAGTTAGTTCTTACTCACTTGACCTCTATTAAACATTTTTAAAATCTATATTTTATGGCTTGACTGTTTAGTTTGGAAACTTTCCACTTTAATGTCACAAAACATTTTTAAAGAAATTGTACATTGCATTTAGATAGAAGGGGCAATTGATTTCAGCTCAGTTATTGCTATCCTCATGTAATCTAATGTCATTATTCTTGAGTAATCAGTTAATAGTTCAATTGATGAAATGCCTTCTAAAGTTTGAGATTGAACCAGTGGCATTTTGCACCATAAACAAAATTGTTGCCAAGTCATTTTGGCTTCTGTCTAAACAATTGATCAACTTCTTTTGCTGGGCTTAACTTGTCAGCAAATATTTATATTAATAAATGCGCTGAAATATTTGTGTCAGTTGACTGATTGGGATAACTTACCAGAGTTTGTTTGTTAACATTATCAGAAAGCTTGGCCACTCCACACGACTTTTCGCAGCCCTGCATTTGGGATGAAGCCATGTGATCTAATTGATTAATGTGAAATGAATTTGTTGCAGAACCAGTTCAATCATTCTACACTTGCATCCAAAGCAAAGAACTTTGGAGCTGAGAGCCAGTAATGATGAAGTGACAACAGTCATGATGCGCAGACACATTTTAGAAGGAACATCAGAGTAATGCATGTTAGCTTTGGCCTGAGCTGAATGAATCTGATGGTTTGAAATCCTCGCCCCACCTTCCCTCTCCGTTCGATCATGCATAACACACACCTGCAGCAGAAAAAGCTTTGATTAGTGAGAAGTTGGAACGCCTCTGTAGTTGTGCTCTGCTGCTGGCATCAACTGTAAAGTATTATGGCCTGAAAGCTTGTTCACAAACGAAACACTGCAGCTTTGACGGTGGCTTTCTGTAGAAGATGTGATATATTCCAAGCAATTTAATTTGCTCCATGGTGGGATCACTGCGCACTGTAATGTTGTGGACGGGAAATGCTGATGTATTTATCACTCAGATTTGGGACCAAACAATCCATCCTCAGTATCAAGTGAAAGATGAATTGTCTGCTTCAGTTACACACAATGTGTTTCTACACAATCACTGTTTTCTGAAGCACAGTTCAAGGAGACACTTATTGTGATGAGATATCCCCAGCTTCACTTGCTGTTAAAAAATTCAACACTTTGTGTTATTTATTTAAAAATGTATGATTCTAACAGTATAACTGGCATCTTATTTTCAAATCCAGTGGTTTCGTGTGACACACTAACCTGGATGTACGGTTTACTCCAATTCTGCTAATTCATCATTTGCAAAAAATCATGAGCAGTGCAGTGTCGAAAACATTGTCCAGTTACAATTTGCTGGTGGTTCACATCAGTAATCACAATTTGACGTTCCAGACCTAATCTAAAGTTGTATGTTGGTTTGAGTCCCTGCACACTACTGTCAGAGCCACAAGTGAATTGAATGTTTCTACAAAACCAATATAGTGAGAGATCTCTGTGTTCGCTTCATAACACTTTTGGGAATTATTCAAACTGATCTTTCTTTGTATCAGATCAATAAATTAAGCGAACAGACTTTATTATTATTATCACTCGGTATCGGCAGATACTAATAGTAAAAGACTCAGATCTGGGTCAGAAAACTTCAGGAAATGACCCATCATGAATAATAAGTAAAAATGTGTGTGTATGTGTGGCAGGGTGTGCTGCATGGGGGAGGACATCTATGATGGATGACGTTCCACCCTACTTGCCGTGGACATGCAGTCTGAAAGATGGGTTCATATCAGGTAGGAAGGGTCAACTAAAAGATGCTGTCGTGTTGCATCATGGAAAGGGAATGTTGGTGGAGATTCACTCATATTTGGGATTTTTGCATTTGACCATTTTTAAATGTGTCCCCACCCTTTGCAATAATTAATAATGGAGTTCTCTTTATTAGAATGTTGCAACAGACAGTTCAATGAAAGTAAATTCTGCTTTTTTATGTCCTGTAAATTACAGATATTGTAATTTGGCTAATTTGTCAGTAAAAAACATGCAGTGAACTTTCTGTAGGTTAAAAGTTCTCAGATAGAGAATTTGTACATGTGTATTACATCACCTGAAAGCCTTTTATTTCACAGTGAAACTCACATAACGTGAATATAGTGCGTCACACTTTTCTCATGTAATTGTGTCTTTCTGTCAGTCAATGAATAGAGGGAACACACATCCACTGAGCTGAGAGCTGCACAACTGTTAATGCACGACGTGTTGTCGGGAGCAGTTGAGATGAAATACATCCGGCTGGAGGCCTCCACCTAGACATGGTAAAGTCACTTTTCATTCTTTGCGCACGCACGCTCCCCTTTACATACTGGTTGCATAAAAAGATAATTAAATTTTACACTAAGGGTTTTTATCAGCACTTGCCACTGACCCCCACTGCCATTATGGTGCTGATGATAATCAGTCTCAAATCAATTAGGCAGTAATTGCTGAGTCAATGGGGGAGGCTGGTTAAATATTGATAAGTGTCTAAAAGGCCCATCAGGTTCTATTGACAGCTCAGGGAGACAGACAGCACTGGTTTAGCTGAGGTGGGAGGGGGGACTGATGGAGAGAGCGCTCCCAGGCTCTGGTCATATTCGAGCTGGCAACTCTGGTAATCAATGCAAACCCACTCTCATAACCTTCATATTATTTTTGGTCTTAAATAAGAGAAGAGAAAAAAGTCTGCTGCTCCAAAAGAACTAAATTACAGGCTGTTTTCACGTGTTGTTGGTGACTTAAGTATTTCCAATGCAGGGCCGATTGCACAGTGACAGAAAAACTGTATAGCAATACAATTTTCCATGTTTTTTTTTCCTTGCATGAGTGATGCAATAGCAACTCCAAGGCCAATTCTGAGCGCATTCTTTGCAATTAAGACGTCATTTCTTGTGCAAATCCTTGTGCTTGTTGGAAGAGCATTCTCCTCGGTGGATCAGTGGTTTATAGCTTCAGATTGGACCAAACTGAGCACATCTATACAACTGCTATGCAAATGTTCTCCTTACTACCATAGAAAAAAAGCAGAGACGCAAAGGCTCCATTTTGAAGCTGTGTGTGTGTGTGTGTGTGTGTGTGTGTGTGTGTGTGTNTGTGTGTGTGTGTGTGTGTGTGTATACATACAGTATACATACATACAGTATATGTGTGGATGGATCCTGAGGGAAATTTAGTTGCAAAGAAAAGCAGCACATTTGGAACATGGTGTCATCTTCAGGAAGGATTCAATATTCTATTGTTCTTCTGGACAGTTTTATTGAGAATTAAATTTGCTACCGAGCTTTGACAAGCATGTAAAAACGCAAGACAGTTTTAAGATGGCTGAAACATTTCTCCTCTGTGGTTTTGTCATTCTTACCATTTTCAAATCTCACATTATAGGTTGATGTTGGCGGTATGGCGTCAAGTAATATATTGTGCATGATTTCCTTTTTTCTTTCAGAGGCCACACGTTTCACATATGCAGGTCTCTCTGCACAGTGCTGCGTCAGCACTGGAGAACGTTCTGGCTGCTCCTCTAATCATTCAGGTATAGGGGAAAGAAAACAGTCTGGTTTGTTTGTATTTCTTCAAACCACTCACCATAGTCTTGGGCTGTGCTAAGCCCAGAATGCAGCAACACTGCCCAGGAAAATAGTGTTGGTGGGCTAGTGTTGGTGGAACATTTGTCATTAAAATAGTTTATTCCCTGAAAAGAAAACTGCACAAAAATATTAGCTAACAGATGTTTGTTGACTGTGTGATTGCAGAATCCAGATATTTGTCAAAACTTCCAATTTTCAGTGTATAGGTTGTTTTCTGCAGTGAAATCGATTTTGTAAGCGTAATGAGCAGATAGCAGAAAGCGAGGAGAATGATAGGCTTACTCTCAAGTTTACGAGTGGGGAGTGAGACTAAGGCTATGTCTGCACAAACGCATTTCATTTTAAAAGAAAAATCTCAGTCCATTCTTCCATTTTTTATTTGCCAACAGTAATGTAAAATGCAGGATATTAATTATCCTTACCAGTGCTAGTATTGTCAGGTTCACTGTCTCTTTCAGAATAAACCACAGCCTGTGCCACTTGGAGTCTGACTTATATTGAATCTGAAGTTTAAGAGGGGAGATGAGCAAGGACTTTGCCCTAATTATCATGCTGGCTTAACATGCTGTGTCGGTTAAATGGTGTTTGCAAAAGGTGCAACCTCTGACTGCTTATTCCAGCTACTTCCTGACACTCCCAATCAGCTTGATTGATTGGATCCTTAGCCACTCCCTAACTCCGATTGGCAGTTTGATGACAAGAGGGGAGGAGAATAGCAAAGGGAGAGAGGGACTTTTATGGTCCTCATCTAATCCAAAGTTAGTTTTTGTTCTTAAAATGTGTGTGTGTGTGTCAGTGCCCCTGTTGGTCTGCAATAAACGTGTCATCAGAAAAATATTCATCCATAATAATCTGTCAGGACGCTTTTCTTCAGCTTTCCAAAACTGTCACATCTATCAAGATTAGGCAACTGCTGGAGCCCAGTTCTCCCGTAAAATGAATCAATCTCAGTGAATGGCTGCAACAACTTATGCCGACTGTCCAAGTGACTCGTGGTATAACCAACTCTGACAAACATCCCTGGCTCATAGCGAACCACTGATTGGACAGCTTAGTGATCCATCTTCTGAAGAAAACTCTGACAGCCATGTTTGCATCCATCTGCATTTGTTTCTCATAGGCAGTTAACAGCATTAGCCTTTTGAGAAGGGCTGTTAGCCCATGGTTTCCCATAAATCCTTGTCATTTAACATCCTAAATCAAAATGACGAGCGATCAGGCTGGTTTCAAGCTTCTGCACGGTCTTTGATGCTGACCCTTCCTTTTTGTCTTTGAGTTTTTTAAATGGCTGCCATTGTCATTAAAACTCCTTTTATAAGATTTATATACAGTAGTGCAGCTACAAAGTAATTCTCTGCAATGTGCTCCCAATTGGTGACACAGTGTGCATTGCCTTTGGTGGGGGCTTTGCAGCCTGTTTTACATGGTATCTGTTCTTGATTAATTTCTTTGAATCACATTCATTTGATGGAGCACGCTGCTGACTCATCTTCATCCTTCATTCTTTTAAGATGTGTTGTTTTCACATCATATCCTCTCGGTGATAAACAGGATCTTGATCATTTCTTTGTCTCGGTAACAGTGTCCCAATGGAGTAAATAGTTTGTAATCAGAGAATTAAAGGAGCATTTAATCTTAAAGGGCTTTTCGTGTGGAATCTCTTTGATGTGAGCTAATTCAATATGAACGTAACCTGAGGGCACTTTAGATGGAGATTGGGGTTGTGATAAGATGTGCCTTTGGAATACTAGCGCAGTGTTGGCACACCCAGTGAAGACTAATCGTGTAAAAGAAATCGTTGCTTTTAAAGCCTCTCAAGAATATGAATAAGATGAATTAACAGCAGCAGATTACATGCCACCGCAGGAGCTGTTCTTAGGTGTTACATGAATCAGAGGTCTGTCTTTGGAAATATTTATTCGAGGTCTTATTGTTTTACTTTGGAAATTGGCAGTGTAATACTTTTTTCTAACAGTTTGGTTCAGATCCAAATAGAAAAATCTTGGATAATTCGTTTACAACAACTCCCTTCCATTATGTCGAGCAGAATAAATCTTAAACTAGGCAGCTAACTCGTGCTTGTTAGTGATTGTACCTGGCTTGATGCTGGGTGAATGCTTGTGACCGTATGCGCCACTAAAATGAAACTTCATGCTCAACAGATCTCTCACTAGGTAGAAAAACATTTTCAAAATGCAAGCAAATGATAACTCAGAGCCTCTTCAGGTTTTCAGTCCACGGTTGAAAAAAAAATTAATATAATATCTTGATTAACAACAACTCAACTATCATTTTGCCAGAGTGTGAAAGTAGTCGCATTTGAGGATGAAATTGTTGCTTTTACTATAGAAATTTAAAATTGATGCTTGCAGTTCAAAAAACTTGCACTTGACTGTCTTTTGTAGCTCTACTTTAATGCACTGAATCACATTTTGTTGAAAATATTTCATGAATTGCTCCTGCCTTTCAAAGTGGAATGAGCAGGAGAGGGCACTGCAGAAATATTGACGTGTAAATAAGGAGATGATGTTGCACATATTACTTTCTAAACAGAGGCAGATAAAGATCTTATACATTACATATGCTGTAGATCCAGCATCATGTTTTCACTAGCAACATTTATATTAGAACAAATTCGGCCACTTTTTCACAGTTTTTTTATTTGTAACATTTTATGGAAAAGAGAAGTCGATTGAACAAATCTTTGAAGGTCAGCACCACATCTACTAGTTGGTTAAACTAACAATTAATGATTGGGTAACAAGCAATGTAAAGTGGGACAAATGACATGTGATGTTTTTGCAAGGTTGTATAAACTCAAACAAACTGGTATACAACATCTACTGGAGCAGTGCATTACCACGTTCAGCTCATGCATGTGGACAGAGACCTGCAGGGGAAGAAGGCTGCTGGTGCTAGCTCTGCTCACTGAGTTCAACTCCTACCAATGTGTTTTAACTCTCCTAAAAGACATAGACAGGATCAGTGTGACTCATATGAAGACATTAAAGGAGGAGGAAAAGAGGAAAGGCGACATGAGATGAAACTGGAAGCTGATTTACTTCTTCAACACTGGCCATTTGGTACAATTCTAATTAATCCACTGACTCTCCATGGAGCTGCTGTTAGCACCACGGCCGCTCACACAAACTTACTTGGCCAAGGACACCAGCTAAGAGGAATTTAATCAATTTGATGATAACATTTGTCTTAACACCTCTTGCGGCTATTCCCATGTTCACCATTCGAGGTGACAGTACTTTTCCTTCCAAAGGATCTTGGTTTTTTTTCTCCTGGCAAGGTGCAAAGTAAAGTAAGACCTACAGACAGTGCACATTGTAAAAGCCCTTTTTTTAGTAAAACTATGAACCTGCTGCCATGTTATTTTACCTTTTCATATCTGTCTGTAGCCAGAAAACAGACAGACAAGACAGTGATGTGTTATACAACCCAGATGTACAAGCAATACTGATGATGAGAGACTGAATATGTGAGAGGAGTCTCTCTGTGGACTGCAAGACAGGGGCAGAGTGGGTGTAGAGAGCATGTTTATACTCAGTTACTTGTAGTGGGCATGTCCTGTATTCCTGTTAACCCGTTTTTAACATCTCTGGAGTTCAGTGCATGTCTGAAAGCAGCTTTAATGGGTGTGTCTTGTAGTAAAAGTAAATTTAAAATTAAAGTAATGCTCTTAT